AACACTTTTTTGTTCGGCTTAATCTATATTGAGAGCAAAATCCTTTCTGGAACTGTTCGTTACTTGCTAGGTCGATTCCATGTCTTCGAGTATTTTGCTGCTGATGCAAGACTGAACCCTTTCTGAAGATTTCGCTTACGAACCCGCGTCTCTCACCAGCACATCGTCTCCCCGCTCCCACTCACCCCACACGCTAAACCCGATTCTAAACCCACACCCCACCCACACATGCCGCCACTTGATTCCGACTCAATCAACCCACCTCTACCCCACCCGGATAAACCGACTCCATGGCCCCGTTTCACAACGGTCTCGTAAGCCTAGGATCTCGTAACTTTCTGTGTATCACCCTACCTCCTATATTGTAACATTGACTTAGGATAGTCGTAGCGCTAAGAGAGCTTTGGGAAATGGGGCCCAGGCAACCAACCGATACCAACCGCCTGAACCCAGTTCCAGCAAAACTATAATGCCCAATTCCAACAAACCCACCCAACAGTTTTAGCCCAACCTCGGTAAACCCATTCCAACGCTCATTGCCAACAAAAGCCGTCTCAAACCAACCCAACCCACCACCAACCCCCTAAACCTGCCTCTTGAACCCATTCCGACATCCCGTTCCATACACCCCTACCGATTTCCGACTCCAACCAACAAAACTCACCCCTACCCAATTTTAAACCACCCAACCCACTAACCCACCAGTGTGTATCCTAAGAGCCATATAACGAGGGCTAACTGTTCCCGACAGCGTTGATCATACCACCAGTCTCAAACCCACGTAGCCAGGCCCCCAACGTCGATGCCGCAATGGTTCCCCGCACCTTCATCCAATCACGTTGCGGCACATTTCACGTCGTTGTCATCGCCATCTCGACAAGAAACTGACATGTAATTGATTACCTCGGCATCAAATTAATTAAAGTACATAACAAAATTCACACAAAGGTCGATTTAAATTTCTCGTTTCATGTGAAAATGCTCGGTTTAATTTCTGTCTATTTTCGGGTCCGCGCGAGGCTGGTGGGTGCAAAATGTTCGCTTTGGTCAAACCCATTACACAAATATTATCTCAACAATAGCGAGGTGACACCATCGTATTCGTCTTTCCATCCCCTACAGGGGCGTGATGAATTGCGAAGCGGAGGCAAATTGCCTCGTTTTAAGTCATTTTTGCTGCTGCACTGTTAATCATTGAGCCCGGTACTGTCATTAATTCTTCATTTCGGCGCAGTCTCACTTCCGGCAACAATCACTCCTCGTGAAGAAAAAGCCTTTGATGTGAGGAATTCCATGTTTTATCTTAGCAAAGATTACATCGATATGTATACCGTAGGGACGGTTTCTAATAACTTAAGACCTGTTCTAACTTGCTGCTATAGTGAGTTTAGTTTAACGCCACTTTGAAAACAATTTCATTTATATCACGCATATATATTCGTTCAAAGCGAAGAAGTGTTTTTTAAATGTACCACTTTGGAACTTACGAACAGTTGTACGATTCTGTGAAACCAACGTCGTAAGCAGAGCAAATCTCGGATTCTAACTCATGCTCAGCGCATCCTACCATTGCTAGGGGACGCAATTCTTGACAAGAAATTAACGCTGAGACCAACAGGTCACTCGTTTCCCTAAATCAGCATGAGATATCCAATGTCATATGTCTAGAGTTTAAAGAGAGATTTGTATTGTGTTGTAATTGGCATTGCGTTCACGTGTATCGTTTCTTCAAATTATATAGGCAAGGAAGGGCAATGTATATTTACTAGCATGTTTATATTTAGTTTTATTTTTGCTTGAAGTAGATGAGGTGTGGCTGGAGACATTGTCCCTCTCAACTAAACTGTCGATGTAACTGTCATGTGTTCAACGCCGTCATATTGCTGGAATATTGCTAAAAGCGGCGTAAAATCATATTCACTCGCTCATTCTCATCTTTCTCTCATTTCTCTGAACTCGTGCCCCAATTAATTCTCTATGTCTCTCTCCTACATTGTTTCAAATCTCTCTGTCATCTCTCATTATCACGACTCTCTCTATCTCCCTCCATCTCTTCTCTCTGTCTCATCCACCCGTGAAGGTGCGGGTTAGAATATTGATCTTCAGTAACCCATGCTTGTCGTAAGAGGCGACTAACGAGGCGACTAACGGGATCATCGCTTCCCAATTGGTGGTCAGTTGCTCATGCTGTTGACATGGTTGACTGACAGACTCGTCATTTTCAGACCGCCAATTGCGTATTGATGCGGCGTAAAACTAAACTCATGCTGTCTGTCTCATCACTTTCACCTATTCTTTCTTAGCTTCTCTTCTGTCTTCTTCCCCTTCCCCCTCCCTTCTCCGTCTCTTTTGTAGACGTCTCTCATTTGTCTATCAATGTCCCTCTCCCAAAAAAGTAACACTTCCCCTCTCTCTCTCTTTCTCTCTATCTCAGATGGTTCTCGTCTGTGTATGAACTATTTCTTCTGTCCGTCTGTCTGTCTGTATGTATGTGTTTACATGTACGTGTATATACGTATAGAAAGACGGAGAGAGAAAGAAAAGTGTATACATGTATATAATGTATGTATGTGTGTATATTCTTCCAACAACATTTACCTTTGTCCTTCAAAAGTTTATCTTCAAAGACACACCAGACTAAATGCCCCTAATTACCCCCTCCCAAGCAATTTTAAAGATTTGAAATTTATGCTCCAATTTCAACGCCTGGGTCGGTTCCACTGATCCCATCCAGAAAATGTGTTGTCTTTTAAACAAAATCTACGGTAAATTACCTCTGGTTTTGTAATAGGATTTAATGGGACGAACAGAATCGACACTTCTACTTAAAAGTCCCACTTTGTATGGGGCAAAAACCACTAGCCATGTAATGAAACTAGATTCCGTAGTCCAAATCAAGTTTTTTTAATCTTTGAAGTCCCATACGGTTCGTTCGTAATCATCCTGTACCAATCCCAATTTAAAGTTCCCTTTGGATTTATGACTGTCGAAATCAAATCCAATGGAATTTGTTATCGCGAAAAGCTGCGAAGGAATTTCTATTGCTTTGAAGACAGTTTGAAACCAATTGTAAGATATGGGAGCACGTGTACTGCTTCTTGTTTACAAACCTGAAGCACAGATTGCAAAGCGAGTTTCAAAGAAGATAGTTTAAAGTCGAAATAAATCCGCTCTCCGCCAGCATTGACTTCCGGCTCATTGTACAACTACCATAAACTAGAGGTGCTGTTGCACATCATTTAATGGGCAGCCTCAGACCTCCGTGATTCCCTTGTCAGTCTCCAATTTGCCTCCGATTAACCATCCTGTTTTTATGAGGAAGCAAAGCAGTGATTTAAACACTGGGTGTGTGTAATGGTTAAATTACTTATTTGGTTTGATTGACACTAATCACTGATAGAGACGTACTTAACAGAGCCCTGGCTGTTGTTTTACTGTAAGGAATGTACGTTATTTTTTCTGTTATTTTATATGAAACATTTGATTTATTTTTCGTGGTTTTACTTTTTGGGGGCTTGGTTTTTTACTTGCCCTTCTTCTGATGTATGGTTTTAACACTTTGCGATTGTAAAGCTTAAATTAGTTTTTCGTTTGATTGACACTAATCGCTCATGAAGACGTCCTCAACTGAGCTGTAACTGTTTTACAGTTATAAATGGACATTATTTTATCTGGAACATCTGAATTATTTTTTTGGGTTGTAGTTGTTGTTTTTCTTTTTGGCTCTTTAGTTATTTTTTTCTTCGGATGTGGTATGTTTGCTTGGGTTAGTTCAAGGTTGTCCTTTGTGTTCTGTTGCTTTGATGGATATGTAGACTTAGTCTCTTTGAACATATTTTACTGAAAAAAGTTCATAGTAAAAAAAATGCTTTTCTTCATTGCTGATGACTTGGTATGCTTTGTGGTATCTTGGAGTTCTGGACAGACTAATGGATATGCTCTGGTAACAGTTCTGGGCTGTGCTCTGTTGACAGGTCTAAATTATAGTCTGTTGATGCCTTACGACCCGTGAAGGTCCGGGTTAGAATGTACCTTCAGCAACCCATTCCAAACCGAAACATGAGTCTCATTAATCTATTCAGACAATAACCAACTTTTCAGCCGATCCGAATTTTCTCGTGTGAAAGTGAAAATAGACATCACAAACAACTATGGTTACACCGAATTCCTATTCCTTATCTCATAAAAAATAGTATTTGCAACTGAATTTTAATTTCAAACTTTAATAACATCGTATTTCTATATTTTATGGCGAGATGTAAGCAGCATGACCTTAACTAAGACGTCACAGACTGCCCCAGGTTGATGAGGTCGTAAAATGATTCACAATGCATCTGGCTCACTGGTTACACCTGTTATGTGTTTTTTAGCGCTTTTTCATTGTTGTTCTGTAACGCACATTATGATTGATATAATATCAAGTCCGTACCAGACCGCCAAACATTTCTAGCGGCAGTGCCTCGTTTTGAGATTTCCACGATTTCCAGGTTTCTGTTTGTCAGTGCTCGCTGTACGACAGAGCACGCTGCACGACGTGTTTGCAAGGTATAATAAGGAGCGTAGTGTTGCAATATACAAGTACTTAGATGTATCAAATAATACTGATAAATATTTATGTATCCAGTTGAATGAGTTGGTCTAAAAAATTCTGGACTGGTTATTGTACTAAGTTGCGCAATAGGACGGAACCCAGTCAAACCTCGTATCCCAATGCTCATACTGTTGATCAATGGATTGTCTGGTCCAGACTCGATTATATACAGACCGCCGCCATCCATATAGCTTGAAAATTGCTGAGTGCGGCGTCAAATCCACAAAGTAAACAAAGAAACAATGTAATCTTATCTCTCAAAGAACATTCTGATATACTTTCAAACAAAACCCCACCATACCCCCACCCCCCACACACCCGGCCCATCGTCCGCCCACTTTGTTCACAGTCACCCGAATTTTAGCAAAATCTCCTCTTCAAAAAAACTATTTTTATTCTTATTTTCCAGGTAGTGTTTCACTCACAAAAGAAGTCGGATACAGATATCGATCAAGATCGTCCATCTGAACAGGTAGGATCTCTAATTGGCTGAACAGGACATAACCAGAAATTTCCTTTTAAGCGTCCATTTTCAGCAACCTTCTAAGTTCGTCGTCAAGTGCGTAATCCCCAAACGATGCTTATATTACAGTGCTACGTTTAGAGTCGCCTGTTTGCCGTTTTGTAGATTTTTTACAGCGTTCGTCACTTTTAGTCACCGTGTGCCAAAAGGAAATTCCATTAGGTCAAGTATTTTTTTGCCTCAAGCTTCCGGGTAAGATTCGGTGGATTCGTCCAAAGTTCAATAATTTTATGGTGTTCTTTTTACCACTCCTTATAGTCGGAAACCCGTAAGTCCCAACCACGAAAACTGCATTTCCACAGCACGATTCAGTCATCCGGACAAATTCAAAGTAGGCAGTATTTAATGGAGTACGGGGTTTCATTTTACCCCTTGGTGGTCTGGCCTTCAGGTCGATTCGCGCAGGAAGTTGCTCACGCGAAATCTCGTGATATCCCGTGACGCGCGAAAGGGTTAAGTAGTGTGGTGAATAACTGCAAAATAGTCATATTTGTTGTGGGGTTTTTAAGTGAAGATTTTGTGTAAGTGTTCCATAAGTAAAGGTTTTGAGTTAGTGTTAAATTCATTCAAGGTTCTGTACAAGTGCTCGGTTAAGTCAAGGTTTTGTATAAGGGTTTGGTTGAGGTAAAGTTTTGTGTAACTGCTCGGAATCGTCAAAGTTTTGTGTAAGTGTTCTGGTTAGTCAAAGTTTTGTGTAAAAGTTCAGGTTAGTCAAGGTTTTGTGTAAGTGTTCAGGTTAGTCAAGGTTTTGTGTAAGTGTTCAGGTTAGTCAAGGTTTTGTGTAAGGGTTTGGGTTAGTCAAGGTTTTGTGCAAATGTTCGGGTTAGTCAAGGTTTTGTGCAAATATTTAGGTTAGTCAAGGTTTTTGTGTAAGGGTTTGGGTAAGTCACGTTTTGTTTAAATGTCCGGGTTAGTCAAAGTTTTGTGTAAGTGTTCGGCTTAGTCAAGGTGTTTACACATGGACTCCGTGATTGAGTTTTGTTCTCAGGTGAAGAGGCTGTGTATAAATGCTGGGCTACGTTTTGTGTAAGTTGCGTTTAAGTCAAGATTTTGTGTAAATGCTTAGTTTTAGTGTTTGATTCGTCCAGTTCACATTTCTGTGGGGTTTAACTGACAAACAAGTAAATGTAAAGTTACATTATGCCATTCATCCGCCGTTTTGTGTTTGTTTCACCGACAAACAAACAAACAACAAACAAACTCTTCATTCTCTAGAAACCTCTAACGGAGGTACATGAGATAAACGTATATACATTTACAAAATATACAAGACAGCAGCTTACATGATAGCAAGATATAAGATAACAATAAAATTTCATTGTTTAAATGCATTACATATATGATTCAGTAATTTAGAAAGACCTTTAAAGGTCACATGCAACGTAAAACACAACTTTGCAGATTCTGATACCTTTCGGTATGGACTTACAGATACAAATCATCAAAAATGCAAACTCAACTTATAAAGTTGAAAAATAACGCGATGAAAAAAACCCCGCGAAATCAGAGTTCAAACGATTCACTAAATTCACCCCAGCGCTTGGGGTGAAAAGTGGTTTCAACAGCTGTGCTGCGCTGTACTGGGCTGCGCTCATAGCGCATGCGCAGAGAAATAGGTTCGCGCAGTTTGGAAGCGGGATGTCCGGATTGTATATAAGGTCGTGAGCAGGAGTAGTCTGATCAAAACAAATAGTAAATAATCTACTCATTACATAAAAAAAAACCTTGTTAGGATCTGGATCTACTCAGCTATGTGTCAACCAGTGAAGTGTTCGACATTTCAAGACGGAAAACCTTCGCCGGCGGTGGATACTCGGTGAAGGCTTTGATGTGAGCTATTTTCCTAATGTTTTCTTGATATTTCACAGGCGCGAGCTTTTTATATGTTATGACAGTAGATTACCGATTTAACTGTTTATATATTTTCATTTGTCTATTTTACCACACGTTCTTCTTACCGAGTCACTTTCTCAGTTCGATAGATAAAAGAAATGTCATTATTTAGCGTTGACAGAATTTCTAACTATGATATAGATATGTCGTTGCCACAGACAAAACTCAGTGTCTGTTTTATTGACACCTATGTGTCTGCCTGCCTGTCTGCTAATGACAATATTCAATACACAACTTCGATCACTGACCACATGCAATTTGAACTTAACACCTATCAGGCTATACACCATAAACAAAACGCATTGATTTATGGCCCGAGTTCGGTTTCTGTCACATTATGTAATTACACAGACAGGCAGGTTTGATATTTGTACACATGATATGTTATGATGTCTGTTGATTGCAAAATGTTATACACAAAAAATGAGCATGTATTTACAAAACCCAACATCTCTATATATACACACACAATGAGCCAATGAGACTCCTCGTTACACTTGAGTGCACACCTACCCGCTCTGACTGGGTTCGGTATCCCGGGTGCCTCGTTTCGACAGAAGTAAACCCAGGTACAACATATTGCACTCTTGACTTGCGATTGTATGCTTATTACTTTGTTTATATGGGTTTTTTCATAATCAGCAATGTATATTATATGTCATGAATAAGTGATAACTGTGTTTTAATTATGTTTGATTTTTTGGTTGCATGTGACCTTGAAGGTCGCTTATGCTGGTAGTAGACAAGAGTTTCCTAAACATGGACAAATTTGGAAATTCTAGGTATTTAGTGTTCAGAGACTGACGTCGCAGTCGGAGAAAAGCTTCACATCTAAACAAGTAGTGAAACTCGTCTGCAACAGCGTTTGATACACAAAGTGGACACGGAAACAGTATTTGACAAGTTAGACGAACAATGCACCAGAATAAACATCGTGTGATTCATCACGAAACCGTCGGAAGGGAAGATGGAGTGCTCTGTGCTGAGTAGTCAAGATCTAGACTGCCTGGTCATGTTTGTCTAGACAGAGTCATTAGTGCTGCTTCGAAAAAAAATAAGACATTTTAAGTAATTTGCGACATCATCGTTGATATGCAACGTTTTATGTTGTTTTTTTATGATATTGTTAAAATACATTCTGGGATGTAGATCGATCTGAGTGCAAAGCTTCTTTGAAGAAAAGACACTTGACAACACAACCCTCTTAAAAGCATGTTTACTGAATAAAATGACACGAAATAACCATTATTAGCTGCGGGGAAAACGAGAGCCACTGGCACGTGACTGTTTAGTGATGCCAATGCTGATTACGGGTGTGTTTCGGCCTCTCAAATATGATATTGTTTGGAAACGCATGCTCTTGTAACTAAGACCAACGACTTTTTCTTTCACGCTGAGAATCATAAGCACTGGCGGTTCTCCTTGCTGACAAGTCAAGAGCACTAATCGGCGTTTTCTGAAAGAAACTGTCGCCTGGGGAGATCGTTTCTATGTGTTAACTCACTCACAAATAGTCCCACCTATTACACTTTATTTACAATTCTCTCAAACAAACGGAAGATTACATTGACTACTAAAAGCTACCACGGATACACGTTCAAACTCAAGCCGTCTCAGGTCTCAGCTTAATTTGCTAATATCAATCTTCCGGCTAATAGTATCCTCGAAGGACGGCGCACCGGAAGACGGCGCGCGTTTACGCTACCATGCTCGCGTCTGATTCTGCGTCCTATCTGCGTGGACAGATGCTGAGTTTTCCAGATAGACTCGGTCAAGCGATAAATGAAAAGCACAAGTCTATCAGTCAGAGATTGAGGACGTGAAAACACTCGTTGTCGCGATGGGGATTTCTATCATGGGTTCCACTCACCACTTAAAGCACAGTATTGTTGGGAGTAAAAGGTTCAACCCTGACCTTCTAAGGTTCGATTTAGTGGCGGCGGTACCAACGTAAAACGTTAATTACATATTCTTATTTTTTTTTTTTTTACTGAATACGTACGTCATACCAACTGATTTATTTAACACTATATTCAACAGAGTTTATTCATAAAATTTGTGGAAAAATCTTTCAAGATCGTAATTTACAAGAAAATGTTTTCTTACCTATTGTATTATTGTTTGTTTGTTTTTTAACGACGCTGGTGCCATTCTTAATAATAATAATAATTATAATTCAGTTTTACGCCGCACTATTCCAGTATTCCAATATTCTGTAAATAATCGAGTCTAGACAAGACAGTCCAGTGATCAACAGCATGAACATAAATCTACACACTCCGATACGATTAAATGTGTCAATCAAGTCGGCGACCCTGACCACCGGATCCCGTTTGTCGCCTCTTACGACAAGCATGGGTTTCTGAAGATCAATTCTAACTCGGATCTTCACGGGTACGAACTTATTTTATAAACGACGATAGACAAGATGAGATAAGGCATGACAATGTTAATACACACAGCACTCAACAGCTTATCAAAGTCGTCGACGTTGTTTCTGTTGACGCGGAATTACGACGAACTTAAGAAATCGTGTCTGGCGAAAAACATGCAGTGGTTGATATCATAAGCACCAAACCACCACGTCAGGCTACGATGGGACGCATCGCTACCTTTGGTCTCTCTGGGACTAATTATAACGTGTGAATAAGTAGATATTACGCTAAGGAATAAAAGAACACGCGAGAAAGTATACCCTGGCCTTAAGTGAGTATGGTTTTACGCCGCTTTTAGCAATATTCCAGCAATAATCACGGCGGGGCTTCACACGTTTCACCCAGACGACCTTTACCAGCCCATGTTTGTCGTAAGTTGCGACTAACGGGACCGGGTGGTCAGGCTCGGTGTCTTAACTGACACATGTCATCGCATCCGTAGATCGATGTCAATTATTGGATTGTCTAGTCAAGACTCGATTATTATTATTACTATGATAGCTATAATATTCCTGATTGCGGCGTTAAACAGCAAGCATAGTTTAATTTTGAATACTGCAGGGCAAAGTTCAAACATCTGCTTCGTACATGAACGTAGTTTGCAATCACGAAACCAAATTT